TTTTTTTAACGTTTAATGAATATTTCTTATTCAAATTTAATTATTATTTTTATTTTATTTTAATTCTACGAGTTAACAGAATTAAAAAAAAAAAAAAATTCATCGAATTTGGATAGTTGGTTGCGAGAAATCTTTGTTTAAAGTTCAAAAAAGAAAAAATTTACCCGATTTTTTTCAGATATTTTAAGTTTTTTAAAATTTTTAACGATGATTTTTCGATAATCACTAAACAAAATTCAATGAACTTTTTTTTTATTTTAATTCTACTAAACTATAGAATTAAAATAAAAATTTTTTTACCGAATTTAATCAAGTAGTTATCGAGAAATAATCGCTAGAAGTTTTAAAAAACTTTCGAATTTATTAATAGGATCTGTGCTATGAGCGTCAGGTTAATTGACTATCTACGATCTGCAACATGCTTAACCACACAATTCTGATGTACTACAAGGAGACACCTAGTAGAAGGTAGCAAGGCTGTGAACCTTGATCATTGAAGAAACGAATGGGATAATTTGGGCTGGATCTAAGGATATTGAGTGAGAGAGCACGGACTGAATACTAGAGGGAAAGTTGGTTAAAGTTAGGAAGTACACCATGAGGAGTTGCTCAGGATAGGTACGAGAGATGCGAGGAATACAATAGTAAGTCAAAGACAATTATAGTCCTAGTATAGAAAAATCCAATATACAAATAATAGTACGGGGATTAGAATATATTTGGTAGTCTGCATCTGAGAATAAATTAGTTCTAAATCGTAGCCTAAAAATTGCAAAAAATACTAATGCATCTACAAAATGTAATAATTGGAAATATACAATAATAAAGATGCTGCTTAAAAAAAAAAATTAAAGCTAAAAATAAAATTTGGGTAAGGTTTTTTGGGATGCTGAACATTTTTACTTAATACACCTGTCTTGGTTATTTAGACAGTTTTGGAGATATAGCAACTGTGGTGTTAAACACCACTGGTGTGATTTAACAATGCCGTTAGAAATTGCGATTAATAATACAGTAATTGCTGCAAAATCAATTTTAACAAACCTAATGGTAAAATGTTAATATTAAGGGATCTTTAAAATTTATAGTTTATATAGTTTATTATTTTTATTGCAAATTTTCACAATTTAACCTTCAAGAATATAAGTTTAGTCGTGAGTATTGTCGATAACATTAGTCTATACGTAAAAGTTTTATTCAGAATATTTTCTTAGGATCCTAAAGACGAATGCATTAAAATATTAATATTTTTTTTGTTTAATGCTTTCTCAAAATTTTACTAATGCAACCATCCTACAGCTCTTAAGCAAAATTTTCAGTATGGGATTTGTATAAAAATTTTAACAGCATAATTAAAATTTTCTAAATATCACAAATAATAAAATGACGAATTTTTATTAATAAAATTAGCCACCTCACATTGAAATACGACGAATAATAGAATCCACCCAGGCAATATCTACATTAATCCTAATAAGCATAATGAACAGCATAAATGGTGTATTATATCATTATAAGGTTTAATGGAAAGTGTCGCACAATGATCCCAGACGCTTTTGCACAAAGAAAAAAGGCGAACATATTGATAAAATGTTCACACAACATTACTTATGTTTGCGCATATATATAACAAAACATAAATGCAATAATTAGATAGCGTAAGAAAGAGAAAGTTGAGAAAGTGCATACAAATCCATACTAGACAATGCAAAGGAAAACACAAAAAAACGTGTCATTACATGCATTCTGGCACGGAATCTATGTGCAGTTCTGTATAGTTTTCTATTTTAAATATTTGTGTTTAGCCTATTATTCCATGCTACGATTCTTATAATGTAGCTTTAAATATACCAGCTATTTTTTCTATACAAAGAAAACACTTGGTAAAATAAATCCGCTAGTAATAAAACGGTACAATATTTTTTAGAATACTAACCAGGATCACATTGTTTAGCCACCTCACGCTCTTCAGTAGAAAGTTTTTCTGAAGTAAGTGTAAATATATTGAACAATTTAGCAAGAATATCTTCTTGCTTTTCATTTGTTAATTGTTTATCTTGTTTTTCTGTTGGCGGTTCATCATCTTGCTGTTTTTCTATTGGTTGTTCACCATCCTGCTGTTTTTCTGTTGGTTTTTCACCATCTTGCTGTTTTTCTGTTGGTTGTTCACCATCTTGCTGATTTTCTGTTGGTTGTTCACCATCTTGCTGATTTTCTGTTGGTTGTTCACAATCATGCTGTTTTTCTGTTGGTTGTTCCCCATCTTGCTGTTTTTCTGTTGGTTGTTCGCAATCCTGCTGTTTTTCTGTTGGTTGTTCACCATCATGCTGTTTCTCTGTTGGTTGTTCACCATCATGCTGTTTTTCTGTTGTTTGTTCATTTTCTGTTGTTTGCTCATCATCTTGCTGTTTTTCTATTGGCTTTCCATCATCTAGATATTCATCTATGGCTGATATCATATTGTCTTGTTGTATCAATTTATGTACCTCATTAATTTCCGGGCGCAATTTGGGGTCTCCATCCCAACGAGCTTTGTAAAGTTCAACGTAAGGAATTTTTGATCCATTTATTGGCTTTTCTCTCGTTCCCTGCATTATATCATACATTAGTAGAGTCCGTGGAATCGCTCTTTTATAATCACGGAACGGTGGCCGACCGTTACTTGAAATTTCCCACAAAACTACACCCAGACTATATATATCAGATTTGCGGTTAAGCACCAAGTTATTATCATTCACTACCACAGGGTCTACAAACGGATGGTGACCTCTCATTTCCTGATTTGAATCACTAAGACGAGGAAGTACTTTGGAGAGTCCGAAGTCCGTAATGATGACTCTAATTTTATATTCGAAGCTTTTGTCATTGTCATTTTTAATAACCACATTCTCAGTATGCTAATGAGGAATAAATTTCTTAATTAAACGTTAAATATAATAATTGATTTTTTATTAAGAATGTATAACTTACTAGGTCACGATGTAAAATTCCATTTTCATGTAAAAAATATAGGCCACAAACAACTTGTCTCGCAATATCAATCTTTTGCTTCCACTCTAAAATACCGTTGTCGTTATGACTTAAATAATAACGCAAATTAAGAAGATTTGCATATTCTAATACTAGATAAAGATCTATTTAAGTTAAAAGGTAGGTCAAACGATAAATTTAGGTATAGTAATATAGATTAAAGGCCATATATTTAATTTACCGGGGTTGTCACTAGAAATATAGTATTAAATATCACAAGTTTTTTTAAATAGGTAATTTAAATTTCAACAGCATATAATGCATGTGATAGATTTACAAAGTTTAAACAATACCAATGCTTTGATGCGCCAAAAAATTTGATTACATTGTTATGACCTATTGGTGGTATTTTTTCATTATCTTCTTCATTTAGCAGTTCTCCAATTGCATGGAAAGCTTTAATCTATTTTAAATACAGAAGAAAATATCAGAATTTAAATTTCTGAGACAAATATCCGTAAAAATTTGATAATTTATAGGATCTGAAATTCATATAAAATGTCGATCCTACTACCTCTTTGCTAAACGCTTGGTTATCCGACTCCGTTCCATCAAAACAGATTATTTTCTTAAGAACAATTTCTATATTTCTTACTTTCCATTTAGCTTTCATAATTAATCCAGGACATCCAATACCAGGTTCTTGAATAATTTCAAATTCATTCCAATCTAATTTAGTTATTATTCCCTTTTCGCAAATTCTCGTGAAATATTCTTCATTTGTTTCATTCTTATGAAACGTTAAGTATTTAGATTTATCTATTTTCGTTAAATTGTCAATTTCAGTTTCAGGCATGATGATATTGTAAAAACTTGTACGTAACCAAAAAATTTATTTATTTAATATTTTCGACCAAATTTATATTGCGAACAATTTTTTTTTTTTTATTTGATACCATGACTATGACAATCCTAACCTTCTAAATTTACTATAAACACTGAAATATAATTTTACTTTAATTGATTTCCTAAAATAATGCAAAATTCTTGAAGATTAGCTTTAGTATAAATTTATATAATGGTGATAATTCGGCGAATCGTTTAATTATCACAGAAAGGCCGTGGGTTTACATAAGTTCATTTTTACTAATCACTTTGTAAAGTGTTTTTAGCAGGTATAAATTCCTATTTAATATGCATGCATACTTATGTAAATATTTCAATACTCTCTATTGTATTTGCTTTTAATAAAGCATGATACAGAAATTATCGTGTGGACATTGATAGTTAATTTATTTATATAAGTATTTTACG